CCTCTCTTCCAATATCCTGCCTTTCAACAATTTTAGCCACGTCTCTGTGTTCCTGCTTTGCACTTTGCCCCATGTGAGGTGGGATCAACAAACTACCATCACCCAAAACTGGTTCAGATGTTGAAACTAATGACACTGCAGACACCAGGAGATGATGAAAAAGTTTACTATTCATGAGGCTTTTTAGGGGCAGCGAAGTGGGCACCCAAGCCAGTCAGTTGGGCTTTAATGAAAGGAGGGGCAAGTGGCTCTGGGTTTTCTTGTGGTTAGGAGAGCTCAGTGCATTTGTGACAGCAAGGGTTTGCACAGTTTGAACTTCCCCTCCAGTGCAAAGAGGAAGTGCCTGGGTTTTATCAGCTTGTCCAGATGCGAGCACGTTAAGGGGGAAAGCTTGAAAACTGTTAGCAGACAAACATCAAACGTGGGGAGATGCTATTCCAGCTCCCCCAGTTCTGGGGTGGAGGCTACTTAACAGTTGCTACCTCCAAGACACCTTGGCATTTTCTTCTTTTCAGCTACTTAAATATAGGACACTTCTTTGTAAGTTCTCTGCTAAAATAACTGGTGTGGTTTCTGGCAACTAAAACCTGGCTGATATAAAATCTCCTTGCTGTTCTTAGCAGGATTAGCATCGACTTTAAAAGGTGTGGTAACTGGCATGCAAATATTTATTCCCCTTTTCCCCATCTATCTAATAAAGTGAATGACTGACAAGCATCTCCATCCTCTGGATTCCATTTCTTCATTAAAATTATGAGTTTATAGCTTCTGGCTTACCTTACTAAGCAAAATCAAGGAGATTTAGGCAATGAGGAGCTTATAATTTCCTGTAAAGTGCCATGTCTTGGTGACTGTGTCTCAGTATATGGAGAACATCCTCATTTTTAAAAAAAATTGTTGCCTGATATTCCTTCATAGACATACTAGTTACTTAACCACTCCTTTACTAACAGCCATTTGTATTGGTCCTGTTAACCAGAAAGTGGTCCTGATCCAGTCTTGGACCTCGCTCAAAATAGTTCCGGCGAGTCCACAAAGAGAAAGTAAGTTTATTAAGAAAGAAAAGAAATAAAGAATAGCTATTCCATAGGCAAAGCAGCCCCAAGGGCTGCTGGTTGCCTATTTTTACGGTTTTTTCTTGATTATATGCTAAACAAGGGGTAGATTATTCATGAGTTTTCCAGGAAAGGTGTGAGCCATTACCAGAACTGAGGATTCCTCTCCTTTCTAAGACCATATAGGGTAACTTCCTGATGTTGCCATGGCATTTGTAAACTGTCACAGTGCTGGTGGGAGTGTCTTTTGGCATGCTAATGCATTCTAATTACAGTATAACGAGCAGTGAAGACAACCAGAGGTCACTTTCATTTCCATCTTGGTTTTGGTGGGTTTGGCCAGCTTCTTTACCACATGCTGTTTTATTGGCAAAGTCTTTATGACCTGTATCTTGTGCTGACCTCCTATATCTCATCCTGTGACCTGGAATGCCTAACCTCCTCAGAATGCAGCCCAGTAGGTCTCAGCCTTATTTTACCCAGCCTCTGTTCAAGATGGAGTTGCTCTGGTTCACACACCTCTGATACTCCGAATTTTTGCAGGTGAGGAAATGGAAGCTTTGAAAGATGAGGTGGCTCACTCTAAGTAACATCATGTACCTGGCAGGGATTTCTATAAAATCATAAGATGTCAAGAGACGGTGCTTAAGGAATATCTTTACTTTGAAATACTTTAAGCAAACAGTTAAAAAGAATCCACCACACTAGCCTGTTAAAATCTTAACATTCTGATGCATCTGCATCACTTTTTAAAAAGAAAGAAAACACAACTGAAGCTCCTATGTACCCTCCCCAAATCCATCAGCTTCTCCTGCCTTAGGACGGCAGAATGGTGACTTGCACACATCATTCCAATATGTGATTTTATGCTCAATTCATATTAATTGAATCCACAGAAAATAGATCACTGTGCAAAACAATAACACTTTCTATATGTCCACAATGCTTACATGCCAGACACTATTCTAAGCATTTCACATGCATTACTTCACTGACTGCCCCCCACCCCCAATCACACTGTGAGATTGCCACTACTATCCCATTTTACAGAAAAAGTGAAAAACAAGTTAGTTGAAGTAACGTGCCCACAGATACACAGTATGCTTAACTTTACACAAACAGTAACTTATATGTAACTTCTGCAACCTTCTCTGCATAATTTTTCATATCTGTGTTGAGACATAACTCTTTCATATTCACTTTCCAAGGACCAAAACCAACCCATTTATTTATCCATTCTTCTGCTGATGAAATGCTGGCTTTTCCCAATCTTGCTACCTAAACAATACTTCCATGAATAGTCTTACACTCATTTCTCTGTTCACATGGCGCTCCTCTAGGATGTATCCAGGAGTACAGCTGCGGGGTGGTTAAGTGCACACAACCTTACAAGATTTTGCAAATCGCCTTACACAGTATTTCTCACAATTTCTACTTCAAAAGCGGTGTGAATTATCATTGTTCCACACGGTTACACACTGGGCTTTCAAAAATGTGCCAGCTTGATGAGTGTGAGATGGTCTGTATTATTTTACATTACCCATGCTTTGTCCTCTGCACATGCCTCTGGTGGGAATCTTGGTCAGCCTTAGGCTGGGGTGGGGCAGCAGGGGTGGGTCACACCTCACTGAACAGGTGACAGAAAGACCTTCAGAGACCTACTTCAGCCCATCTGGCTCTCCTCAACCCCAACTTCAGTTCCTCCAAGAGAGTGGGGAAAAGGTGGGTAAGGTTGGAAAGAACCTGAATATTCTCCAGGCTAGGATGAGATACAAGATGAGACCTGGTGCTCAGACTAGGGCAATCAGAAACTTGTCAACAAGAGCCATAAAGCTCAGAACCACCCACAGCCAGGTTCCTAACCAGCAGGTGTGTGCCTGTGGGTGGCTTCCAGTCAACATTTCACTCCACAGCCTCTTTAAAAAACCCCAACCCTGACTTAGCCAAACTAAATTCAGTTCCTGATTCCTTAACAGGAAATTCTGTGCAAGATCTCTTCTGCATGGCAAACAGATAAATAAGCACCCAACCCTGGTTTCCAGAGTGCTTGGTCTGGCTATGGTGATGGGCATAACCCAAAACACAAACACCACCTGGCACAGGCATCAAGAGAGGTGGGGCCAGGGGCTTAGAGGCATGAGGGTCAGACAAGGTCAGGCCTTGAAGAATGAAGAGCTGGACTGGCACAGACAGGGGTGTGGCACTCCAGGTGAAGGGAGGCAGAACAAGGCGGAACACACCAGGGGGTTGGGGTGGGGAAGGGACAGGAAAGCCAAATCCAACACTGATTCTGCCAACGTCTTTAGTAGTTAGCACCAAGTAGTCAGGCTTTTACTTTTTTCCCTTTCAGCTAATCTGAATTTATTAATATTTATATAATTATCACATAGTACTTATGGAACTAAAATTATTTGAAAACTCAGGTTACTGGACAAATGGCATCAGTATAATCCCAAATATAAATGGCTTACTTCAGGATAAAATAATTTGTTTTTCCCTTCATCTTTGCACATTTTAAAATTTGATTAGAATGTTTAAAAATAAGCACATTTCATTCTATAAAAATGACAATAGGTCAGGCACAGTGGCTCATGCCTATAATCCCAGCACTTTGGGAGGCAGAGGTGGGAGGACTGCTTGAGTCCAGGAATTTTGAGACCAATCTGGGCAATAAGGAAAAAAAATTAAACTTTTGTCTCCACAGAAAAATACTTAAAAATAGCTGGCATGGTGGCAAACACCTGTAGTCCCAGCTACTCAGGAGGCTCAGGTGACACCTGAGCCTGGGAGGTCAAGGCTCCAGTAAGCTGTGATCCTGCCACTGCACTCCAGCTGGGCAACCCTGTCTGAAAAGAAAAAAACAAAACAAAACAAAACAAAAAAAAACAGGAAAAATATCCCTATACCAGGGCAGGAACTTTACAAGGTGCTCCGTGTCAAAGGGGGCAGAGATAGGCATAGGGGGTGCTATAAATGTGGACATAAAGGGACATTGCCATGGTTATAACACCAACTGACATGGGAGCTGCACCTCTGTGAGGGTCCTGGTCCTAGAGGTCAACCATCTAACGGAGAGCCCTGGTAAACCAAGCCCTCTTTTACCAATCTCAGGAGTCAGGTAGCACAGACAAGCACTCTAACTTCACACAGAGTGATGCAGAGGTTCAATAACTTGCCCAAGATCATTACCGCCAAGAAAAGGCACACCATGCCTGGAACCCAGATCTGATGATGCCAACATCCTTCCTGTAACTCTGGCCTCTGCCCAGCCACTTCTACTGTCAGTTTGGGGACAGTGAAGGGACATCTTCACTGCCATGAGCAGCTGCTGCCATAGGAAGGCAAGAGGATGGCAGAACCAAGATGACCAAACCTTCCTGAGGACAAAGCTGAACAGGCATCAGAACACCAACAGGAGAAGTCTGCCCTGTCCCAGCCATCCCATGATACCACTACACCATATCAGAGCCTTCATTCTCACCTGCTCATGGCAATCCAGAGAGGATAAGATTACTCTGTACTCTACTGAAAAAGACGTCTTCCAGGTTGGTTTCTCCTCATTGTAAGAAATGACCAGCTCCATGAATGGGCCCCTACTAATTACAGTAAAATGCAGTCGGGGACACTGCTCTACTATTAAGACATTAAGACATTTTATCCTTACATTTATCATCTGACATCAATAATCAGAAGCAATGATTACTCACATACTTTAGAAATATCAATCCTTTGCCTTTAAGTAATTGATTCTTGCTTTTTGCTTCAAGGTAAGTAGGTGGGCCAGTGAGGGAGCTCCTCCCAGAACAGACCACCTTTTCTCCTGAGGGCAGCAGACACATGCACTGGTTCCTTTGGGTTGAATCTGATGCCAGCACCAGATCTCATACATGGAGAGGGGTATGTGAAGATGAGAGGGGGTATGTGAGGGTAAGAGGGGGTATGTGAAGGTGAGAGGGGGTATGTGAGGGTGAGAGAGGGTATGTGAAGGTGAGAGGGGGCCTGTGCAGAGGCTAGAGATGTGCACACAACAATGCTAAGCGTTTACATCTGCTGAGGCGGAGGATTCTACAGAAAATTCAGAAATGGAGTGAGGAGGAGTCTGATTTATGGGAACTAGCAGCAAGGATAACTTCATGAGAAGCCCTTTAGCCATTCCATTTTACTGAGTCTTTGGATCTGTGGTTAACCCCTGTAAAATATAATTCAGATTCAGATCGTATCACTCCTCAACTCGAAACTGTCCAAAAGCTCTCTGCCTCCCTCTGAGGCAGCTCAAGCCCCCGTAATGAACGATGATGCTTACATTGCTCCCTGACCCCTCTCCTCCCCTTCCAGCTGGCTCCCTGCACACCATCCCAGGGGCCTCCTTGCTATCCTAAGGACATCAGACAAGACCCAATCTTCTCTGCCTGCAACTCTCCCTAGAGAGCTACCTGGCTTGCTCCCTCGCCTCCTTCAGGTCTTTGCTTAAATTTCACTTTCTAGTTGAGGTCCTCCCTAATCGGACTATTTAAAATCACAATTGACTTCCCAATCCAGCACGCCCTCTCACTCTTCTCTGATTCACTTTGTCTACCACACACCTATCACTATCCGGAATACTGCATATCCCATTTGTTTGTCAATGATAAAGATCCAAGACGGCAGGATTTTCAGCTGTTCTGGTCTCTGCTGGGTGTCCAGCAAATACACCAGTGCCTGGTGTAGAGGAGGTGATCAGCACATTTCTGTTAAACAGATGGACCGCTGCTGCCTGTGCAGGCCTGTGGGATGGGAATGGCAACAGGATACTGATAGAGCTCCACACCCCAAGCGCTTGAGCCCAGCATCTTGCTGTACTCCACCAGCCACTGAGACCACTCTAACCCCCTGGAAGATATCCAAAAGCCAGCTAGAAAGGCTAAAGCCCCAGCCAGAACTCCCCAGGGGGCATTTGGGAAGACTAGGAGTTCTTGATGCTGCTGTTTTTAGTCAACAGAATAGGCATGGCCATACGCCAAACTTGAAGATAAATCTAGGATCCCACTGGCCCCTTTCCAGAAGCCACAGCCCATGATGCCACAGACATTTTATCCAACCACAAAGGGCAATGGTTTTTCTCTTTAGAGTTGCAGAAGGAGACCTCACTGGGGGAGCTGCAGGCTATGGTACAGAGGCCACTCCTAGGGGCCCAAGTCTCCAGAAGGGCTCCAAAGAACATGCTGCTGTGCTTCCCCAGCGTCACATCCCAGCAGGCAGGCTGAAGACTCCCCGAGCTTTTAAATCCTTGGGATTCCGTCACTAGCTTCCAAAATAGAAAGGGCTGGGCCCTTTGTGAAGGTTTCCCCACACTGCCTAAAATTAAGGGTTCTCTAGGAGGGGGCTGAGAACTCACTCCCGCGGTCACTGTCAGACCCAAGCTAATCTCTAATATGGTTTTTCATATGCCGAGCCAGATTTGAAGACCATCTGAAGGTCTTCCCACACTTGTTGCATTTGAAGGGTCTCTCTCGAGTATGAAATCTCTTGTGGCTAATGAGTTGTGAACTCTTGCTAAAAGTTTTCCCACATATGCTACATTTGTGGCACTTTTTCCCAGCGGTTATGTCCTGGAGTTCATCAAGCCTGGAGCTCTGGTCGCAAGCTTCTTCACAGTCTTCGAGAGGCATTTCTTCACTTGGTTTTAATTTCTGCAATCTCAACTTTGTGTCCCGAGAGGAAGAGAGCCCAGGCGGGCTACGTTCAGCCTGTGCTGCTCTGGTGTGTTTACTCTGGTGACTGGAAAGGGTCTGTCTTCCAATGAACTCTTTCCCACACCACTGACATTTGAAAGGTCTCTCTTTAGTGTGGATCCTCTGATGGTTAACAAGGCGATAGTTTCTATCATATGATTTCCCACACAGATTACATTTATAGCGCTTCTCTCCACTGTGTATTCCCTTATGATCTAAAAGAGTTCTTTTACGTGTAAAAGTTTTCCCACATTCTTGACACCAAAAACGTTTCTCACCAGTGAGGATTTTTGGCTCCACACCTGGAGTATTTTCACTTTCATGGCAATCATATTGTTTTTGAAGAGAGTGAATCCTCTGATGTCGGTAGAGATTGGAACTCCACCTGAAGGCTTTCCCACACTCCCTGCACTTATACGGCTTTTCTCCAGTGTGAACTCTCTGATGGATGAGGAGGAATGAGTGATTGCGGAAGGCCTTGCCACACTGGCTGCATTGGTAGGGCTCGTCTCTGGTGTGACTGCTCTGAGGAACCTGGAACACTCTGTCCTGACTAAAAGATGGCCCACCTTCAGATTTTCCTTTCATGGCATGCTTCTTCTTATGAACAATAAAGGCTGACCTATAGGCAAAGTCCTTCCCACATTCGCCACACTGGTATGGTTTCTCACCTGTGTGAATTCTCTGGTGGTCAATGAGAGTTTTCTTTCTAGTAAAAGTTTTCCCACACTGCTGACACAAAAATGTTTTCTCCACAGTGGGGGCACCCTGGGGCTGACTGTGGTCAGGGGCTTGCCTGAAGTCTTCACGACATTCATCTTGTTTGTAGAATTTTTCCTCCTCATGCAACCTCATATGACGAGTAAAGTTTGATCTCCACCTAAAGGTTTTCCTACATTTGTTACATTTATAGGGCTTCTCCTGGGTGTGAATCCTTTGATGTTCAAGAACATATGATTTACAGTGGAAGGATTTCCTGCACTGGCTGCAGTCAAAGAGTTTCTCCCCGCTTTGGTCTCCCAAATGATGATCAAACCCTGAGCTGTAGGTAAGAGCTGCCCTATACTGATTCAATTCAAGAAATTTCTTCTTAGCATGTGTTTCCTGGTGCAGACGGTAGGCTGACAGACGTCGGAAAGCTTTCTCACATAAATCGCATTTATAAGGCTTCACTCCAGTGTGAATTTTCTCATGCCGTGCACAGTTGGAACTCCACCGGAAGGCTTTCCCACACACTCTACATTTAAATGCTTTCTCTTGACTGTGAAGTCTCTGATGATATGCAAGATGGGAGCTATGACTGAAAGTCCTTCCACAGTCACTGCACTTAAAAGACACTCCCACTGTGTGAAGACTCTGCCCATGCTGGTGATGAGAGCTAAGGCTGAAGTCTTTTCCACACAAATCCTTTTTGCTCCCTTTCAGTCCAGTATGAATTCTCTGATGTATGCTGAAGCCCCCAATCATGTGTCTGAGCCCCTTCCCGTATTTCTTATAGTCATAGTGGTGTGAACTCATTCTAAAGTGTTTGCCACAGCCATGTTTAAGGGACTGCTTTCTTCCAGAAACTCTCAAATATGTAACATGTTTTAAGTCAAGACTATTACCTCCTGATACTTCAGAGTCTTTTCCTGTCCTGTGACTGAAATCAGTCTCTTCTTTCTTGACTCTCACTTGTATGGGGTTTTCACATTGATCCTTCAGCCTGCTCTTCTGTTGAAAAGATTCTCTGAGCCCAATTCCCTCAGAAACACTTGCTGCAGGACATTCTGATGGCACAGCTAAGGTTTCTGCTCCTTCCAAAGGTTCCTGATTTAAGATGAATTTCTTTGTTTTAATTTGAAGGTCGCCTCCTGACAAAAAATAAAACAGGAGAGAATGTACTCTTTTTCCATACTTGGAACTGCAGAAAGCACCAAAGGGCAATAAAATGCCTGGGTGGTGAGGCTTTTGCCTGACTGCCAATACCTTTACAAAATAGTCAAACATAAGGCAAAACATGGAAGATTATCCCAGATAACAGGGAAGGGAGGAGAAAAGCAAGATGGGCAGGGCAGGTAGAGATATGCAGACATCACATCCAGCAGGAAATAAAAAGGATTAAAAAGTGTTAAACAGCCAGAGTAGGAGAAGAATCATGGCATTATAGAAAGGTACCCAAAAGCCAAGGGCTGGGGCTCCAAGGAGCACCTGGCTGAAAGGGCTAGAGATCAGCCTATTACAGAAGGAAGGATCAAAAAAAGAAAGAACAGGAGTGGGATGAGGGCTCCTAAGAGCAGGAAGGGGTGAGTACAGGGGATTCAGCAGGAGTGCAGGCCAGGAGTGAGGGCACAGGGCTGAGGAGGAGCACCAGTGTGTGGAAGAGGGGAACAGTGAAGCCCTCCAGCAGGCAAGAACTATTATTGAGAGGGCTGCTGGGGAAGGGGGATGGGAAAACAGAATGGCCAGAAATGAATGACCTCTTAGAAGCCAGCCAGGATGGAATGGAAGAGTGGCCCAAATACCCTTAGCAACACTGTTAAAGATCTTCCTTCTAGCAAACAACAGAAAATAAGAAAGAGAAAAGTAAAAGCAAGAGGAGCAGGACCTGGCCAGTTCTCTGGAACTCACCTGTAGGGGCAGCACCTGGATTCCCCTTAGGCTGAGCTACCTGCAGGTTCAGGCCCCACGGCTCCCTTGCTTCCAACCAGGAGATCAGAGCCGGTTTGGTGAATGGTCCCACTGCAGAAGAGAAGGGAATGGGAGATGGGAAGGGAGATGGATGACAAAGAACTACTCTCTAGGACCTCTGGGCATGAAGTCCTGGTGGGGAGGTGGGAAAGGCCAGGAAGGCAGGCAGCGAAAGCTGGCCAAGGAACCCGTTATTTCAAATAGCCCTAAGCAGACAGAGATAGAAGAGGTTGAGAGAAGTTTGCAGCAAAAAAGATTCCTAGAATTTTCTGGAGGTGAGAACATGGCTACTTAATTGGTTGCATCAGCCAACATTTTTTGAATGCCTAAATGGACTAGGAACTTAAAACATATTACCTTTAATCCATTGTTTTTGTTTGCTTGTTTTCAAATAGGGTCTCACTCTCTTACCCGGGCTGGAGTACAGTGGCTTCATCTTGGCTCACTGCAGCTCTGACCTCCTGGGTTCAAGCAATTCTCCAGCCTCAGCCTCCCAAGTAGCTGGGATGCCAAGCGTGAGCACCACATGCTTGGATTTTTGTATTTTTTGTAGAGACAGGGTTTTACTATGTTGCCCAGACTGGTCTCAAACTCTGAGCTCAAGCTATCTTCCCACCTGGCCCTCCCAAAGTGCTGGAATTACAGGTGTGAGCCACCACATCCAGCCACCTTTAATCTTTATAACAATCTAGAATGGCAGGCATTATTCTCCCCATTTTTCAAAAGAGGATACCAAGGTGCTGGATTAAGTCATCTGGTTAGTAATTACAGAGCCAGGATCTAAAACCAGGTCAGGTCCCTTTCTACACAGCAGAAAACAACCCAAGAAGGCAGAAATAAAGATGGATATAAGCATAAGGCTATTAATTACTTACCCAGGAAGACCATGTTCCTGTAATTCTCCAGCATCACATCCCTGTACAGGTTTCTCTGAGCTGAGTCCAGCAACCCCCACTCGTCCTGGGAGAAGGTCACCTCCACATCCTTGAAAGTCATATTCTCCTGCAAAAACACTGTGCCCTAGAGCTGGTCCACAGCTCCCAGCTTTGAGGTGGAAGGGGAAGGAAGGGGAATAAACTGGCTCTGTGTGAGTACAGGATGGACCTGGCAAAGACGAAAGGGAAAACCATCACCCAGCAGAAGAGCTCTGGGCTCAAGGGGGATTATCTGGTCTCTGGGACATGGGTCTTTGGATGTGAGGTTACTAGACAGAGAAACCCAGAATGGGGGAGCTGCACTATCTCATTAGGCAGTGATGTGGAGACATCAGGAAGGAATGAACGTCCCGTGGCTCACCTGGAGCTGGGCTGTCAGGGACCTGGTTGCTGTTACCTGGTCTCCTGGGCACCCCTCTCTCTGGAAAAGGGCAGGCATCTGGGCAGCAGGAGGATCTGAAGGAGAAAAAACCATGAGAGTGTGGCTCAGCTCTGGATAGCCCACTGAGAAGCCCACTCTTCCCACCAATAGAGGACTCCTGGACCCATGAGCAGGTACAGAATGTTGTTAAATACCCAACTCACATGTCCTCCTCAGTCTACGGGGGCCAGGAAAGGGGTAGTGGGAAGGGGTGTAGTGGGGGAGGAGTGAGCCACATACGGGTCATAGAATGGATGGAGGACACAGAACTAAGAGCCAGGACAGAAGAAGATTCTCATGAGAGGACAGATGTGAAAAGACAACACTACAGGAAATGCAAAAGGTGTGGCATAAGGCTGGGGTCTTAAGGCCAGGCAGCAAGTACCGGATTGCCCAGCCAGGAAGTCACGTGCTTCTATTTCATAGGGAGGCTCCAGGTGGTCCCCCAGAGCAGAGCCGCTCCTGAGAGGTGAAGCAAGAGACCATATCTGTGCAGATCGCAGGGCTCCTGTACCCATCCAATGCACATCTGGGCTCTGGGCAGGGCCCGGGTCCTGGCAAGAAGAAAATGTTGTGAGAGGACCTTTCTGGGAATCAGAAAGCAAACTTGGAGAAGAGGCCACATGGCCGATCTCCAAAGGACAAAGACCGAGGGGTAGGTAAGCCAGGTCCTTCATTACTTCCAGACAGGAGAAAAGGGCAAGAAGAAAGCCCAGGGGGTACCTCCAACCACCGCAGCCTCCTCGGGCTCTAATGAGAGCCATGGGAAAGTCCAGGTAGAGACAGACTCCAGCTCAACACAAGGAAGCACATGGTAAGTCAGTACAGCACTCTTGTCGGGCCTCAGATGACACAGTGCCACCTTCCCACTACCCCTCAGTTCCCACCCAAGGCCTGCAACTTAGAAATGAGAGAGAAGGAACTAGTTCCTGAGAATTAAATTCATGATGGTTCACAGCAGAGATACAGTCAAGTAATATCTACTATCAAGCACTGCTCTAGGCACTGATTATACAAAGTGATCTCAAAGAGGCAGGCTAGCTCCCAAATTGTAAATTTGCCTTTAATAATAATACTGATAGAGAGGCAATGCCAATCATGAGAGTCGGCCATAAAGCCATAGAAGAAAAAGTCTCCAGCGTAAAAAATGGCAGTGTCCATCTAAGTAGAGACCAACAAAGAGGAGGTGTTTGCCCTGAGATTTCAGATAACTCTGGTATCAGAGGCAAGGATGTCCCTCATATAAAGATGAGTATAAGAAACCACAATTTGAGATGTTTCTGGTCCTGTGGTCGAGACAGTCTCTATCGTGAGATTTTTCACCCTGTGATGATTTTGCTGAACCACAGAATGATTCTCTAACTTTACATTGTATCTTAAAGCATTTCTTTTCATTTTTCAAATTTGGGGGGCTTTCTCCCAGCCCCCATTGTCTTCTAAGTGCTTTCAACCAGGTAGGCCTTTTCTGCTCATGTGGAAATGTTTTCATGGATTTAAAAAATTACAACTAGCTGTAGATGAGTTGAATATAAACGAGCCGCGACTTCGTAACTACTGTGCGGCTTACTGCCTTTTATAAATTATCGGGTCCTTCTGAACATGTGCTTTGGTGAAAATAACAAATGTTCTTTAAAATTTTTTAGAATAGCACCCCATGTTGGGCAAAAATATTCTCTAATAGTTATACCCTGTGTTTTATTTATTAACATTTACTGCTGGTAGACCCTGTCCTGATACTTTACTTAATTTTTATAATAAAGTTTTAGAGACAAGTATGTCAAATTTGTTTCAGAATTTTATTTTTTAGACAGAGTTCAAGCAATTCTCCTACCTCAGCCTCCCAAGTGCTAGGAATACAGGTGAATGCCACCATGCCCAGCTAATTTTTTGTATTTTTAGTAGAGACTGGGTTTCACCATGTTGGCCAAGATGGTCTTGATCTCTTGACCTCGTGATCCACCTACCTTGGCCTCCCAAAGTGCTGGGACTATAGGCATGAGCCACCACACCCAACCACAACTTTCATTTCTACGTGAATTATGTATGCAGATTGTGTGTGATATATATATATATATATATATATATATATATATATATATGTATTTTTTTTTTTTTTAAGACAGTCTCGTTCTATTGCCCTGCCTGGAGTGCGATGGTGCGCTCTCAGCTCACTGCAGCCTCTGCCTTCCAGGTTCAAGCAAATTTCCTGCCTCAGCCTCCTGAGTAGCTGGGACTATAGGCACATGTCACCACACCCGGCTAATATCTGCATTTTAGTAGAAACGGAGTTTCACCATACTGGCCAGCCTGGTCTCGAACTCCTGACCTCAAGTGATCCACCCATCTTGGCATCCCAAAGTGTTAGGACTACAGGCGTGAGAATCATATATTTTTATGTAAATAAAATTTTAAAGAAGGCTAAAAAAATGATAAATGCTTTTTTAAAAAACTGAAAATATAGTTTAGCTCCCCTGTGTGCAGCAGGAGGAGCAGGAAGAACACACTTGAACTGACCTGCTGCCACCCCACTGCCAGGCCTGGGACTGCCAATTCTGCCAGGGCCAAGCACATGATAAGCACTCAAATATTTACTGAACAAATTGTCATGATTAGACCATTTCTGAATTTGCTTCTCAATGAACAGAGGCTCTGAAAGGTATGATGTGGTCATGGACATTGAGGTTGTGGAATGATGCCTAAAATCAAGGTCTTCCTATTTCTCAGCTCAGCGCTGCCCCTCAGCACTCATGTCCATCTTCCCTGCCTCCCATCTCACACACATAGAACAGATCCCCAAAAGCTTACTGAGAAGTGCTGGGCACAGTGGTTCACGCCTGTAATCTCAGCTTTTTGGGAGGGTGAGGCAGGTGGATCACCTGAGGTCAGGAGTTTGAGATCTGCCTGGCCAAAATGATGAAATCACGTCTCTACTAAAAATATATGGTGCTGCATCCCTTAAAAAAAAAAAAAAAAAAAAAAAAAAAGCTTACTGAGAAGAAAGCTACATGGTGACTACAGAGTGCTCTTCTGAGTTTTAATATGTACTCTCCCACTGAGAAGCGAAGAGCCCTGACCCTAAGTGCTGTCCCAACCCCTGCCACTTTACAGGGCTATGGCTAGTCTCAACTAAAATTAGATGGTATGTGGAGATGGACTTTGTATATTGTAAGCCACTGTGTCCAAAGACTAGTTACTGGCCTTTTTTGTTTGTTTTTGAGACAGGGTCTTGCTGTGTCGCCCAGGCTGGAGTGCAGTGATGCAATCACAGCTCACTGCAGCCTTGATCTCCTGGGTTAAAGTGATCCTCCCACCTCAGTCCCTCAAGTAGCTGGGACTACAGTCACATGTCACCATGTCCAGCTAATTTTTGTAGAAACAGGGTTTGCCATGTTGCCCAGGGTGGTCATGAATTCCTGCGCTCAAGCAATCTACCCACCTTGGACTCTAAGGGCTTGGATTACAGGTGTGAGCCACCATGCCTGGCCAAATTTTTAAATTATTTATAGAGACAGTAGGGGGTCTCCCTATGTTGTCCAGGCTGGCTTAAACTCCTGGGCTCAAGCAGTCTTCCCACTTCAGCCTCTAAAGTGCTGGGAATACATGTGTGAGCCACAGTGCCCAGAAGTTATTTACAGAGACTTGCTGACCCTATCTGGAGCTGATATTCCTTTGAGTATATCCTAAAGGATCCACGGCTCAGGGTCCCGTTCTCAGCTGCTCAGGAACCATGGGAAGAAGGGAAGACTTCCCCTGCATTCCTCTATACTGACAGTTTAGAGGGCCAAACTCATCCCCAGACAAGCTGGCTAACCAGCAGGCAGAGTTCCCTGGGCACCACACACTTGCTCACACTCACCCTATGTGATGCCCCATCAAGGTCCCTCTGCAGCTCCTCCAGCAAGGCCACAGCCTCCTCACCACTCTCAGGGTTATGGAGCTGCACCCAGACCCGGAGCTCCCCAGGCAGGATGCTCAGGAACTGTTCCAGCACCAGCAGCTCCAGGATCTGTGCCTTGGAGAGAACATCAGGCCTCAGCCACCAGCGACAGAGTTCCCGGAGCCGGCTCAGAGTTTCTAGGGGCCCAGAAGACTCATGGTAGCGAAGCTGTCTGAAGAGCTGGCGGAACAGCTCCTGGCCGGGGCGGTTGAGTGTCTGTGGCCTGGCAGTCTGCACTGGAATATAGCTTTCATCCTCTTCTTCCTTCTTTACTGTCTGAAGCCGCCCTCGCTCCCTTGAAGACTGGGCCTGAGCTGGATACACAGCATGCCACCTGCCTGGAGGCATCACTCCTGTTCAGGAACTACCCAGAAGAGCACAAGCCAAGTTCACCTTAGATATGGGTCCTCAGAAGTATCTTCTCAGCACTGCAGTGAACAATGCCATTTGCTGAGCCATCAGAAGTCTTTGGCAAGTGACTGAAATAATCAGCATTTCTGTGCAGGAGGGGATGAAAGAATGATGTCCATTATACATGCTGCAGTTGGATCCTGGTGGTTGGGATCATCTTTGTATGTATGAGAAGAGCATTCGCACAGATGTACATGCCAGTATCAAGCAGACCAGAGTTAGGTTGTCCCCTATTGGAGTAAGGTAAGAAAATATCCTACATTAAAACTTTGTAAAAAAACACAAAGGGCTGATGAAAAAAGTCAGAGATCTAAATAAATGAACAGACACACCATATTCACGTACTGGAAGATGTGACACAGTAAATATGTAAATTCTCTCCAAATTGATCTATAGGTCTAATGCAATTCCTACCAAAATCCCAACAAGATCTTTTTGTAGATGAATACACAAGATTATTCTAAAATTTATGTGAAAAGGCAATGTAATTAGAATAGCTAAAATTGGGCCGGGCGTGGTGGCTCATGCCTGTAATCCCAGCACTTTGGGAGGCCGAGGTGGGTGGATCACGAGGTCAAGAGATCAAGACCACCATGGTCAACATGGTGAAACCCCATCTCTACTAAAAATACAAAAACTTAGCTGGGCATTGTGGTGTGTGCCTGTAATCCCAGCTATTCGGGAGGCTGAGGCACAAGAATCTCCTGAACCTGGGAGGCAGAGGTTGCAGTGAGCCAAGATCATATGATCCGCACTCCGGCCTGAGCAAGACAAGACTCTGTCTCAAAACAAACAAGTATGCCAACAAACAAACAAAAAACAATTACGACAAGAATAAAGTGGGAGGGATCAGCCTGAAAACAGTCTACCTGATTTCAAGACTTATTGCTACAGTAATGAAGACTGTGTAGTATTGGTGGAGGAAGAGACACATACATCAATGGAATAAAGCAGAGAAATCAGAAACAGAACCTCACAAGTATGCCCAACTAATCTGTTTAATATTAAATGTGATTTTCCTATTATAATATTTTTAAATATCTCAAATGAGCAATTCAAAAACAAAATAAAATGCTGACTGAGAATCCCCTAGTTGACTTTATGACCCAACAATGGGTTACAAATTATAATTTGAAAACTACCCTAATCCAGCTTCCCACTCAATTGTTATATTTCTTTTTATAATTCATCATAAAATGTGGTGTCTAAGTGTTCAAGCCACTTTTAGGAGATAGCACTTTGGGCAGCCAAGGTGGGTTAGGAGTTCGAGACCAGCCTGACCAACATGGCAAAACTCCAACTCTACAAAAAATACAAAAAAATTAGCTGGGCATGGTGGCATGTGCCTGTAATCCCAGCTACTCGGGAGGCTGAGGCACACAATTGCTTGAGCTTGCGAGGCAGAGGTTTGCAGTGACCCGAGATTGTGCCACTGCACTCTGCACTCCAGCCTGGGCAACAGAGCGAGACTGCATCTCAAAAAAGAGACTATCTGGAGTATATTTTGAGCTCTGAAGGATGTTTGTTTCTTCATACCTGGGGAGGGAGCTTGTGCTACCTATCACATCACTATGTAGGAGTCCACACCTGTGATATACCCAACTGATTTTTATTTCTTTTTTAAGGCAAGGTCTCTTGCTGCTGCCCAGGCTGGAGTGCAGTGGTGTGATCATGGCTCACTGTAGCCTCAAATTCCTAGGCTCAACCGATCCTCTTGCCTCAGCCTCCTGAGTAGCTGAGACTAAAGGCATGTGACGCCACACCCAGATAACTTAAAAATTATTTTTAGAGATGGGGCCCATGTTACCTAAAACTCCTGGCCTCAAGCAATTGATCCTCCCACATCGGCCTCCTAAGTAGCTGAGATTATAGGCATGAGCCACTGAGCCCAACCTCCAATCAATTTTTGATAAAGATACAAAAGCAGTTCAAAAGAGGAATGGTAGTCTTTCCCCCAAATGTTGCCACAGCAACTGGACATTCATAGGCAAAATAAGGAAGCCTGACTGAAACCTCGCCTCTTATACACTTGAATTCAAAATGGATCACAGACTTAAATATAAGCCATAAAACTATACAATTTTTAGAAAACAACATAAGAGGCTGGGCTTGGTGGCTCACACCTGTAATCCCAGCACTTTGGGAGGCCGAGGTGGGAGGATCATGAGGTCAGGAGATTGAGATCATCCTGGCCAACATGGTGAAACCCTGTCTCTACTAAAAATACAAAACCTAGCTGGGCATAGTGGCACACAACTGTAGTGCCAGCTACTGTGGTGGCTGAGGCAGGAGAATTGCTTGAATCCAGGAGGCGGAGGTTGCAGTGAGCCGAGATCGTGCCGCTGCACTCCAGTCTGGGCAACAGAGTGAGACTCCACCTCAAAAAGCAAACAAACAAAACTACATAGGAGAAAACCTTTAGGATCTAGGATGAGGCAACTAGTTCTTAGGTTTGATACCTGTGATATGATATACATACACGTTGGTCCTTATCCATGGCTCATGGCTCATAACTCCCATAGCCCTTGTGATTTCCTGCGTGACTAACACAATAAGCATATCTTTTGTTAAATTATTTGGCCTTTGTCCTTGGTTCCTGAAGCAGCTTTGGAACTTCAGAGTGATAAAGATAAGATAGCCTTTTGCTATAATATTGGGGCATTTTAGGCCTCAAAAGCAGGGCTCAGAAAATAGAACATTTCTCTCTGACCTTTTCCTGCCCTCCTCTCACTGGCTCCTTTTTCTCCCCAAGGCAGGCCATAGAAACTAAAATATATGGTAACCTTTCCCCCTTTTCTGTCTTGGTGCTGGTCATAAATTCTCTGACCTATCTTATCTGATCGTAAGTCATAAGACCTCCATTTCAGAAGTCCTGCCTCATATTCAGTAGGTAGGAATTCTGTACAGAGAGAACAAGAAGAATTTGAACTGACAGCCTCACTGAGTGTCCCCACTCAGTCTATCAGTATGAGATCAAACTTTTTGTCCAGTCACATTTTACATGGTTGGCCACACTTCAATTGTGCTTACCCAATGAAGTCTCCATAAAGGGTCCAAGAGGATGAGGTATAGAGAACTAGGGACAACTGCACTCGTGGAGGCTTGCAGGAAGGAACAAGAACTCATCCATGTGCCAGGATAGTGACACATCCCAACTCCACAGGAACAAACGCTCCTGTACCTAGAACACTGCCAGACCTCCCTCTACGTATCTCTTCATCTAGTTGTTTATTGTATCCTTTAAAATATCCTTTACAATATATTAAGAAATGTGTTTCCTTGAGTTTTGTGAGCTGCTCTACCAAACTGAGCAACAAACAATCAGAAAATTCATCAACACAACAAAATAAAACACCGAAAAGTAAAGCTAATAAAAAATGTACAAGATCTTAAAAGAGAAACAGAAAACCTTGCCAAAAAAACATAATATATCTGAATAAATCTTAAGTATTGGAAGACAAATCTTTTTAAGATGCCAATTCTTCCTAAAGTAATGTGTGGTTAATAAAATCCCAAACAAATTCCAGTATCTCTTCTTAGGGCTTGATAAGCATATTCTAAAATTCAAGCAAATGAGTAAGAGGCCAAGAATAGCCAAGATAACTTTTTAGAGGTGAAAAGATTTGTTCTACTTGACATTAAGGCTTACTATAAAGCTACATTAATGAAAACACTGAGTATTACTGAAGGAATATGCAAATAGTAAATAAAAGAAACAGTACAGCTGGGCATGGTAGCTCATGTCTGTAATCCCAGCAATTTGGGAGGCCAAGGCGGGCAGATCACCTGAGGTCAGGAGTTTGAGACCAGCCTGGCCAATATGGTGAAACCCCGTCTCTACTAAAAATAAAAAAATTAGCTGGGCATGGTGGCACGCACCCGTAGTCCCAGCTACTCAGGAGGCTAAGGCAGGAGAATTTCTTGAACCTGGGAGGCGAAGGTTGCAGTGAACTGAGATTGCGCCACTGCACTCCAGAATGGGCGACAGAGTGGGACTCTGTCTCAAAAAAAAAAAAAAAAAAGAAAGAAAGAAAAGAAACAGTATATACAGAATCCTGACAAGAGCTTATGAATAAATATATATTTGGTCTATGATGGAGGTAACAATACAAATCAGTAGGAAAGATTAGATTATTCAATGAATTGCATTGGGATAACTGACTAGCCAAATTAAAATAACAAGTAAAACCACACACTGAGAGAATAAATTCTAATTAAAGATTTATACTAAAAAAGCACATTCTTTACGCCCCAGGAATTTCCCTTCTAAGAATCTACCCTGAGAGCCAGGTGTGGTGGCTCACACCTGTAATCCCACCACTTTAGGAGGTTAATATGGGAGGATCACTTGAGCCCAGGAATTCGAGACCAGCTTGGGCAACACAGCAAGACTTCTTTTCTATTTAAAAAATAAAATAAAACAAGAATCTACCCTGGAAAAATAGATGCATGGTATATAGACATTTACATGGGTGTACACCAGAGCACTGTGTAACACAACATTGAAAACAACCTACTTGCCCAACAATAGGCCTAAAGAAAAGTGAAACTGCCTTTGCAAAATTATGACTGAGGGTGTGAAAGAGATCTAAATTAACTGACTCCATCTTGCTTCTAATCTCCAAGCTGGCCTTGTTCATTCATGGGCATTGGCTGAACTAACTTTGGGAGAAACTTTGTTTATAGTTTAAACAAAGACAGTAACAACCCTTTCCCAAAGCAGATCTCCTCCTTGCCTGGGGACTAGATTGCCTTTGCAGGACTAACATTAGCCACAAGATTAGAAATTATGACCTTGTGATCCTCCTGCCTTGGCCTCCCAAGTGCTGGGATTACAGGTGTGAACCCAGCCTTTTTTTAAGAGACAGAGTCTTGCTCTGTTGCCCAAGCTGGAGTGCAGTGGCACAATCTCGGCCCACTGCAACCTCCACCTCCCAGGTTCTAGCAATTCCCTTCCTCAGCCTCCCAACTAGCTGGGATTACAGGAACACACTGCCACGCCCAGCGAAGTTTTTGTATTTTAGTAGAGACGGGGTTTCGCCCTGTTGCCCAGGTCTCGAACTCCTGAGCTCAGACGATGCACCCGCATATGTCTCCCAAAGTGTTAGGATTACAGGTGTGAGCCAGTATGCCTGGCCTTTGTCTTGTTTGTGTCCTTGAGAGCTTAACTTTGTGACCATGCAGGGATAGTTTCTCTTGGTTTCTGCCTTCCAGAGGACAGGAATTTTGA